TTACATGATGAGATAGGACATTGTGACTAAATAATATTTAGAAATGTCTTTATTTAATCATTTATTTAAAAAAAATTATGATTAATGTTGTGATGTAGCACCATCTCTTTTCTCCACCGTTATTGCGATAGAAAAGATGATATTGGATGGAGGCAGATCTGAATGTAAGCTTGCAGTCGATTGTAAGAAAGGGGCGAAGTTAAACATCACCCAGAGAAGTCTGTTATTTCGCCCGAAGATTGAGTTATGATATTTTGATAAAAAATTACATAGTCAAAAAAAGTAATATTGTTCACAAAATATTCATAAAATAGATTTTATGAAATGAATGTTTATAAAAATAGACATTTACAGGCTCAAAAAAAATCATGGATAAATTGTTTGCATTAAGTTCATTGAGATGCATTTATAAAATAGATGATGAATTTCAATTTCATTCGACTTTAAGTGTATATACATCAGCAGGCAATATTGTGTCATTTTAAACTATTCTATTCAGTGTCACTAAAGTAGACACTGAATAGAATAGCCCCAAAAGATCTTTCAGCCAATAGAATCGTTTAGGTGCCCAAAGGGGGATGTGATTTTGCCAGGGAATAGGATTTTGCACAACGCCTGAATATTCCTTTCAGTGAGCTCTTTTGTGCTGCTGATCTTTCCACACACACACACACACACACACACCAGCCAGGCCTTTCCTCCCTTTCAATCTTATCTTTAACTGACTCTTTCTCAGCATCTTTTTTCCTCACTCTTGGTTTAGTTTTCTCCCTCTCTTTCTCCCTCTCAATTGCTTCTGAAAGAGGATCAATAATTCAAGAGAGCAAATACAATGTGAACCGTTTCTCACATCATCTCTCTGAACATATCATACTCTCTCTCTCTCTCTCTCTCTCTCTCTCTCTCGCTCTCTCATAAAACATAATCTTATGTCATACTTGTTACAGAAATGTATTTGTGTTGAAGTAATGTCTTAATAATGGCCCAATTGGCATAATTTCTGTAAATGCAGTGGATTTAATGTATGTAGTGTGTTTTATGTTTTGCTATCGTTGCTGCGCTAATATAATGTTTGTTATTTTGGTGATTTTTTATTTATTTATTTAGACCTGGCCAGACCAATTAGCAGACCAAATCATGGTTAACAAGACCTTGCAAAAGCTTTCTCTTTGAATTTTTTTCATTGCTTTTATTTTCTGTTTGAATCACACATTGATCCTGTTTCTTTGTTTTTCTGCACTTTTCCTTTATGTTGGTGCTTGTTAATCCCATAGCTGTGTGGGATTGCACACGATGGCATGATCCTATAATCTTCAAATCGATCGACGACTCAGTCTCACTGATCTCTTTTCTCTTTTGCCAGCAAACACATATCAGTGACTGAGAAATAGTCAGCATGCACTCTACTCAGCATTCACCTCTTTCTACATATGAAGCACTATATGTACCTAAGCGTTTTAATTCCATCTGGAGCATTATTCATAACCTGAATTTACATTCTAAACTGCTGACAGCATTAGCTTCATTGCTAACATTTCATTCCCATTGCATATTGCATTTAATGCTCTGCTCCTGTTGGTTTATGTGAGATGGCACTGTTATTGTAGCACAGCGTTGAGGTCCCATGGGTAAAAAGTGTGAATGAGGGAGAGAGGCCTGCTGGACTTGAGAGGTTAAAGGGTGAAGGAGCATGAGAGAGAGAGACTGCCTCGGAGTGGAGTGCTGCTGGTTAATGAAGGATGAAGGAGAAAAAGACAGAACAGAAAGAAAGAACAAGTACTGCGGAGAATATAAAAGTGTTCATGTTATCGCAATTTTTTTTAACATCTCTATATCAGTAGTCATTCCATCCTGATGACCGCATTATTCCTTGCACATTAAATATTGATAAATTCACCTGTGATGGAGCTCAGTTCTTTCTGTCTCCTGTAATGCTTGAGATGTGATTTTGTTTGGCAGTGTTGGTATTGAACTGGCCCAGTGAGACATGCAGCTCTGTTCTTTAGTCTAAAAAACTGTTTTCTTTCGGTTTCAGGTGCTTTTGTCTGGACTGATCGGAGTGGTGTCTTGGAAAAGGCCCCTTTCTTTGGTGGTAAGAAATGAAGTATAGTATACTAAGAAGCATGTGGTGTTTTTTTCATGTATGTGCACACGTCCCCCCTAATATTCATCATATTTGTTCAATTGATATGGGATTTTTAATGGTTCATTCTACCCATGCAAAATATTACAATTGTGGTGCAGTGCGAATTATACCTGTGATGGGTCTTCTTCAGTGTCACATGATCCTCTAGAAATCATTTTTATATTTATTAAAATTAGTTTGTCTAAATAAATTAAACTGAAAAGTCATTTGAAATGAATTTTTTTTTTACAGTATGAAGAATGGATAATAATTTTGAGATTTGTTAAAGATTAGATTCAACAGTGTTGTTAAATTATTAGTTTTAAAAGATTAACCTTAACTCAGCATTAGATGATGGCAAAGGCATTCTAAATGTAAAAATAGAGGAAATTAACATATAACAAATACTGATACAAATCTAATATTGGCCAATACTGTAATAGATATATTGTGCATCCTCAGTTCATTCTTAAATTATAATGTTTAGCAACCCCCTAGATGTGAATATATTGTTACATCTTTTGGAATTCATAAACCATTTCTATATTCAATTTTATCCTCTAAGGTCTTTAGCGATTTGTTTCTTCCATTTGTAATATACCATTACCAGTACGTGACATGCACATGTATGTTTGACTTATATAGGCTAATTTTCCTCTTTGCCCTCTGCCCTGTCTGAGTTTTGCAGCGGATTTGTTCGGTTGTGTGATGCTAAGGAATTATCACAGTGAGCACTATCAGGAAGGAGCTGGAGGGCTTCTGATTGCCTGTCATGTAGTGCTCTGTAGACAGTGTGAACGTCTGAGCTGAGCATGCACAGATCCTGCCTGGCAGTCAGTGGAATGGGATGTAAAGTATATGCATTGAGTTTTGCTCTGTTCAGCCAGCCGTTCTGCTCATGCATAATTGCAGCAGGGATTGGGCACGCTGGCTGAATTTTTCATGCCTCTTGTTCTGTGGGAACGGCTGGCTCCGGAGGGGGCATTAACGGAGAACGTACAAGTTTACTGATTGCAAAATGAGTGGGATGTTGTTAAATCCAT